ACAGGGATCTGTGAGACTTGCCAATGTGAAGATGCTGCCTTCCGTTGCACAACTTGCACTGGTGACCACAGCTGGTGTCAGCCTTGCCTCCTCAAATCACATCAGTCATTGCCTTTCCACAAAATCCAATTGTGGAATGGCAAGTGCTTGTATCTCCATCCCATATTCTGGGAATATCAATAGAATGCGAAAGTGTCTCTTCAGGACACCGAAAATTCATTCGATAACATTGCGTGCAGATGCATGACGAAGGTTAAAAAGCTCCTCTTTATTCTCCGGCCTGAAAAATCACTGTTAATTGCATATATATTTGAATAAAACTAAAGCTTACCTCACACTCGCACACCCCCACTCTGCAAGATGATAATGAACTCCACAATAAGGTATCAGGAGCTCTGGACAAGAAGGGAAGCCAGCATCAGCAAGAAAGTACTTGCCAGGCGCAAGTTTTAGGCCCCCCTTATGTGCCTCATCCCAAAGATGCACATCAGTAGCGGATCCTTCCCAACCAGTAAGCACATAGGTAAACTTCATATCGAAGTCACAACTAAAGAGACAGTTTTTGGATACAAATCCTTTGCGATTATGGTAGAGGTGGTGTTCAGATGCGGGAGGAAAGGCGTGTATATGGCTCCCATCTATCGCTCCGATGGCATCCTTGAAATAGGGCCACCACTTTGGGTTATTGCGGATTTAGGCGGAGACTGGCATGTCGGCAGTGGGAAGATGGACATGGGTAGTGTAGAATGGGTGGCTCGAGAAAATATTGAGCATCTTTCAAAAGTAGCTATGATAATGTCAGTATTGAGCATCAAAATCAAAATATATACAGGACTTACAGAGAAATTGTGCCATTTGACTGTTGGAATCGCTCCCCCACATGTCGTACTGTAAGTCCCATCATGCACGAGTATAGAAATATCACCAGTTGCTCCTCTAGAGAGACATAGCGTGAGTCCACATGACCAAGAGCGCGAAGCTCGATGATCAAATGCTCAAATACATGTACATGGACACTGAGCTCATAGTGAATCTGTTCTGGATGGCCGATAATAAGTTCAAGGACCCACTCTTGGCCAGATAAGGCTGATGTGTGGTAAGGTTCCGGTTCATCCGGTATCTCTAAGAAGAGTATCTGTGTGGTTAGAGCCAGAAGCATGCTGACAATCAATGTGACATGACAAAGGATACGCTGGCGGACTGCTGCATGTGCTGGCTGTCTTTGATCTAGTGGTTGGATTAGTTGCGGAGGTATCAGGCGATCCTGTGGGATCAACAGTGGTTGAGGAAACAGCGGCTGAAGACCTGGTACAGGTACTAGATTCATTGAGATAGATATGATATTTGATCTTATCATATGACAAACATTATGAGTTCACTTTCAGACTCCGTTTGAAATTTTACCGTCTTGCATCACTTTGAAATCATATTTTGGCTCAAATCACGGTTGCTGAACAGGCTCTAATTCTTGATAATTATGCAAAATTTACGAGGGGGTAAGAAAGTCCTTCCAAACTACATAATTTTCCTAATTTTCCTAAAGCTGCTAATTAGACATAATTATTGGACTTTATCAAAAATTATCGAAATTTTGGCCAGGAGGTTTTTCCTGATGCGATGATTGACACACTCACAACCTGCAAACAGTGGGCAATGACTGGGATCAGCATAGCTCTTGATCAAACAACAAACAACAGACTCACAAACTGCAAACGGTGGGAAATGACTTGGATCAGCATGGCTCAAGCTTGAACAACGATCGACACACTTACAGACTGCGAAAGGTGGAAAACAACTTGGATCAGCATAGCTCTTGATCAAATGATGAACAACAAACTCACAGACTGCGAATGGTGGGAAACAACTTGGATTAGCATGGCTCGAGCTTGAACGACGATTGACACACTTACAGACTGCAAAAGGTGGAAAACAACTTGGATCAGCATGACTCTTGCTCGAACGGCGATTGACACACTCACTTCCTGTGAACGGTGGACAATGAGGATCAGCATGGCTCCCACTCTAACGATGATCAACACACTCACAGACTGCAAAAGGTGGGAAACAACTTGCATCAGCATGGCTCTTGCTTGAATGACGATCGACACACTCACAGACTGCGGATGGTGGGAAATGACTTGGATCAGCATTGCTCTTGCCTGAATGATGATTGACCACTCACGACCTGCGAACAGTGGGCATTGACTTGGATCAGAATGGCTGTTACTCAAACAAGGATCAACACACTCACAGACTGCAACAGGTGGGCAACAACTTGGATCAACATGGCTCATGCTTGAATGACGATCTACAGACTCACTCTCTGCAAATGGTGAGACAACAATTTAGATCAGCATGGCTCTTGCTCGAACAATGATCGACACATGCACTGGCTGCAAATGGTGGGAAACAACTCAGATCAGCATGGCTCTTGCTTTAATGACAATCAACACAATCACTGTCTGCAAAAGGTGGGCATCAACTTGGATCAGCATGGCTCTTGCTCAAATGAAGATCAACACATGCACTGGCTGCAAACAGTGGGAAACGACTTGGATCAGCATGGCTCTTGCTCAAACGACGATCGACAGACTCACTAACTGCGAATGGTGGGCAACGAGGATCAGCATGGTTCTTGGTTGAATGACAATCAACTGACTCACCAACTGTGAACGGTAGGCAATGACTTGGATCAGCATGGCTCTTGCTCAAACAGTGTACAGTAACATGCTACATGAGCCCCCAGCTACCAGCCTACCCTCTGCCACCTTGCACGGCAACAACACAATACCCGGGCCTTTAGGCCTTGATGACAGATGATGATAGAAGAGAAGCCTGGAAGATGCTGGCTTAGATAAGCGGTCTGGATCGCTTAGACGACATATGACGACATAGGTCTAGAAGACCTATTTATGTTATCAAGATAGAAGGCAAGCCTCATGGTTGCCTCATGCACTGATAGAAGGACGCCTCGCAATCCTTATCTTAGATAGAAGCCTGCCTCATGCATGGTACCTCTGACTCAATAGATAAGCAGATTAGAACCCAGCTTCAAGCTGAGCTTAGATACAATGTAGAGACTTGTGCGTCTCATGGTCTGATATGACAGTTTTCACTAGGGAGTACATAGCATGAACTTGTAGTGTCACTCTGTGCGCTACCCACAGCTATCCCTATATGAGGCGCAGCTTTCCTGTGCAATGTGTGCCATGCACGCACCATTCCTATGCTTCACGATGTATATGTGCGCGCGCTTTCCCACGCTTGAGCGCCCTATAGCACCAGCCATCCAGCAGCATCCATCCACTGTCCACCAAGCCCTCTAGTGCGTATATTTCTGTTTCTCTCATTTGTATATTGTTCCACCTTATTTTTAACATGGACCCTTACTTATATATATCTCTACATACCTACTCGGTAGCGCTTCGGCTCCGCATGACAGCGCTTAGGCACTATATAAGTGCCAGCAGTACATACTATAGACGGAGGACCTTACCTTACTTCACCTCTCACTTTACCTACTACTTACTACCTAAAAAATCGCAGTAGAACTCTATCTGTTTACACCTCGCACTCTCATCTCTTATCTTGCATTATAACATCACTTAAGCTTAGTCTCTCTCATTTCTGCATATCTGCGCGCACTTTCCCGTGCTTCGCGCCTTCGTGCCTTATACACACCATCTGCGCTTTCTCGTGCTCCACTTCAGTGCATACTTCTAGATCCTCGCTGCACTCACTTCCCCTTTAGGGTCGAACGCACTTGTCATCTCAAGCATAGCAGAGTAGGCAATGCACGACCTACAACATTTACAGATACAGCCAGGAGCTTCATTTGTTCCTCACAGTATTGTTGTTTCTACAATGATAGAGTAGCCTTATATAAGGTCGACAATTAAAGTAGATGTTCCTTACTTTAATCTTACTGGGTTTTACCTTGAACCACTTGTCTTGCTGAAGCTACCTGCTCGACATTCGATCCGCACCTTCAGAAGGACTTGAGACCCCTTCTGCCTGTAACTGCTATCATCGCTCGCCTCCGCTAGTGTACGCAACTCCTGCTTGTCTGTAGGAGCCGACCTTGGACTCTCAGCACAAGGTATCACTGTCATGATCATCACTGTTAGATCATCCCAGTTCGCATGTGACTCACCGTCGTAACAAACAGTGGGTAATGACTTGAATCAGCATGGCTCGAGCTCAAACGGCGATTGAGAAACTCACATCCTGCGAATGGTGGGCAACAACTTGGATCAGCATGGCTCTTGCCCGATCGACGATCGACACACTCACTTGCTGCGAAAGGTGGGAAACGACTTGGATCAGCATGGCTCTTGCTCGAATGACGATCAACACACTCACTGTCTAGGAACGGTCGGTGACAACTTAGATCAGCATAGCTCGAGTTCGAATGAGAATCGACCAACACACATACTACCTGCAAATAAACACCCAACATATATGAGAGCCTTTGAACTTTATGATAATCTTACCAAAATGTGTGGAAACCAAGCACCCAATGACCTTATTACCCTCTCATAACCCTTGACAGATGTTGTTGTCTCTCCAGAGTCAAAATGTTTTGGAAGTGTTCTGTGCATATCAGTCGCTAACGCTTGTGGCAAGTGAATGAGTCCATGTGTAGTTACCTCTCAACTGCATATTTCATGCAGATCTCCAAGTTGCTCTGCTGAGTTGAGATGAATAATTGCTGGAGCACTTCATTATCCAGAGTTTCAGCCGTGCATTCGATAAGTGTCCCGCAATCTACATTGTCCTCATCCATGTCTTATTGATCAACAGTCATTATGTATCGCGACTGGACCATGAACTGGCTTACTAGAATGGCATACATGACATTTTGGAGGCTATTGGACCTCCTTGAAAAACTTCAGTTGTGGGCCATTTGCGAATGACTCCTTGGCGTGTGTCAGGGCCAGTTCCTTGGCTTCTTTCCGAGATTTTCCTACCTTCCTTAGCTTTGCGAATTCGACATCGTATAGAGCATCAAACTTTGTGAATAATACAATCACTGGTACTGAGGATTGTGATTCTGCGCATCAGTCGAACATCAATGAGGGTGGGATGCAAAAACTTACTGGTTCCTGTGTCGCACTGAGATAAAAACTTATTTTCACCTGCAGTGAAGGCCCTGCTTGCTTTGTCCATTGGAATACAGTACCTATGTTGAAATCATGAGATAGCACATGTTGCGATTGATCAGTTGCAATTACCAGATGGCATGTAGTTGCTTTGTTATTTTTGTTTCCTTTGAGCGGCTTGAGATGAATGCCTTGACCATCTCAAATTCAGATGTGCTGCCTGCCTCGAACCTGCTGTAGAGACTCATGCCTCTCATGGTGTGATATGGCACTTTTCACTAGAGAGTACATAGCACGAACTTGCAGCACCACTCTGTGTGCTATCCACAGTTATTCCTATATGAGGTGCAGCTTTCTCATGCAACACGTGCCATGCACACACCATTCCCGCACTTCGCGATGTATACGCGCGTGCGCGTTCCCGCGCTTGAGCGCCCTATAGCGCCAGCCATCCAGAAGCATCCATCCACTGTCCACCAAGCCCTCTAGTGCGTATATTTCAGGCTATACTGTCATATTGATGCATAATCATGGCTGGTAAGAGACACTATGGTTATGTATGGTTGACACTTACCCTCGACCATTGCTGCCTTTATGCATAACAGGTCCCATGATGCATAATGTTGTCGAGATCCTTGGGTGGCTTGTTTTGGTGGTTCTGATCATGGATCTAGCTTCTCGACCTGCAAATCTGGCCTTTTGGACCCTCATTTGGATGGAACCATCGGGCCTTCTCTCTTCTCCCGTCTTCTGGTTCTTCTCAACCCAAATTTGTCCATCCGCTGGTTCATACCATCATGTGCTGTTTTACTTGCTAGATTTTTCTAAGTCCATCTGTCAGAAATTTCAACGTGCAAAATTTCGGTCTTGTGGCTTCATTGGCGCGTTCAATCCGGGTGTCCCACTATGTATAAGGCTTAATCGTGATTCATTAAGATTTTTTCAATAGATACATGATGGTGCAATGACGAGTAATACTACTAGGTAAGATAGATATCAATAATGTACTTTGTAGAACTCAGCCAATCTACTTCAATCTCCTGCTTGAACACATGTTAGGCAAGCAAACACAGAAAAAGAAACTCGCACTTTTTTGGTGGCCCGCTTGCAATGACAGGTCCAGCAGCCCTCGCTCGCTTCATATGATTTTGGCCAATGTTGTTGGCCTGTGTGCGTCGTGTTGTTTCCGTGCGAATGCGCCCGGTCTTTCTGATTGCTGGAGGAACATCAGCAGCTGCATCAACTATTGCCACGACATGGGCAACACATCTACTCTTCTTGACCACTGGAGGAACCACCATGTCAGCAGTGACAATTGCTGGAGCAAGATCTGAATGGTCACTGCAATTTTCGGTGGTCAGCTCTCCATCAACCGGTGACTCGGCATCTGCCAAATGATGGTCAGTGGTTGGTGTTGTGTGCTGTAGGATATTGCAGGTTTCAACCGTCACTGCTGTATTGGCTGGAGATTCCATGCCAAATCGGTCAGTTGTAGGATGTGGGACTTCTAAAGAAGAGCTGGCTGGGACGGAAAGCAGTGGGAAGTTAAATTTTGGAGAGGCGATGAAAGGTGGCAAAGAGTAGTTCTGTCCATAATGTGCATCTTGATTCCACGATAACATTGGCGATAATGGTGAGCTGAGATAATCATCAAGACGCAAGGATGACATCAAGTCAGATGGATAGGATCCAGAGCTGGTTGAAGTTGAGGCGACTCTGTCTTCGCACATGTCAAAGGCTGGTAAGTGGACGTAATTGCTACCTCTGGATGAACTAGAGAAGCTCGATAACCCCATGTGATGGCTACTTCCACATGAACTGTCAAAGTCGTCTGTAGTGTTGAAAGATAGTAGCATGTCTGGCAGTAAGGCATCTGGGATAGATGTAGATGCCGGCTGTAACACTGCATTGTTGACAGAGAGATGACCAGGGTGAACGGAAGCTGGAGGTGATGGGAGCTGGATTCCTGGCTGAGCCAGTTGTTCGGCTGCAAGTGGCACTGTATCTTCTTGAGAGGATGTTGGGGGGACATAGCTGAGTGCACGTGTCTTCCTTGTGGATTCCACTTTGTTACTAATCAGTGTGCATCATTTATGGATGAGGGAAGTGCGCCTTACGAAAAAGATGCGAGATGAAGGCAGCAAATGGTTTAAGGTGTCGTTCATTGAAATCGGGAGTCGCTTGCATCCAGTTCTGACCGTGTTCATTGACTCCAGTATGGAAACTTGGAAAAAAGGGAAAGTCAGTATCTAACACGGCCGTACAATCCATGCCACGACTCACCTGGTGACATTGATGTTGCCGTTATAGCGAGGGTCAGGTCCTGCACCCATAATCGACCAATGGAATCCCATCATCTCATGGATTGCCTGCAGAAAATGTGCGATGGGACCCGTACACTCCTCAAGGGCCCTAAGTTATGATAAGTCAAATTTACGCTAGCTATCAAATATTAACAATCACTTACTTTGCTAGCTCTGTGTTTGTTCTTTCTTCTGGTGCACAGTTCAGCCTAAGCACAGTGTTTGCCTTCGCATCATGTTCTGCTTGCACTGCAGCAAGGCAAGACGCTTGGACCTCAGGGCTGGCAGCTGTGTAAGCTTCTAGAGCCAATTGTCTCGTGGTATTAAGTTTCTCCCCTTTGGTCGTGATGCTGCCGGTATCAATTGCATTTCGCAGCTTCTTCTGAACTTTGGCACCATGGTTTGATAGAAATATCTCCACAGGTGTGTGGACTCGGGTTCCTTTCGCCTTATTTCCAAACATCTTGTGTATAGATTTTGTCATTGCATTAACCGATGCACGGCCACTCCTTTGCGATCGGTAGTTGAACCACATCCTGAGTTGCTACACAGTGAGTTGTTAGCATCTATGATCTGTGAATTCTGGTCCCAAATTATGCCTACCTGATGTCTTTTTTTGACAGCTACTCCTAACGATTTTTTTTGCTCGTCCGTTAAGGACTCATGGTTTGGAACATCAGGGTAAATGACACTGATTTCAGGCCATTTTTCAAACCAACCACGATAAACCTCAGTCCAGAAGGCTGACAAGGTCGAGTGGAGCTGTGCGTTCAGGGATTTACTCTACAGTTCCTGGAGGAACGCCTTTTGTTCGGTTGTCACCCATTCTGTCCCTGCCATCTAGCCGTCGGCATTGCCTTGTGAGTAACATTAATTGAATACATGACACACAGCTTACAATTGAGTTTTTGAAATTGCTATATGGCATTGTACGTGATATTTCAATTTCAACAACCAGTCTCACTGCACTAACCGAAAAGAATCATAGCTTCTTGATGTTTGCGGACCAATCATCTCCCTGTACCTGAGTTCGGAGCTTGAACAGGAGCACCCGCTCCAACAGACTGGTTCAACTGTGTAAGTACTGAACATATGGGTAGCAGGTTGAAGTTTTAATAGGACAAACTGAGTGGGTAGTACTTCATGTTACAAGCATCTATTTTTTTTAATCAAGACCTGCCCATCTAGTCAAGAAATACGTGAATTTAGATATGGAGGCGCTTCTGATACATCAACTCCTTCATTGAGTGAGCGACCACCAACTCAGTCAACCCTTCAATGTCTACAAAAAACTGAATGTCATCTAGATAAGCAAGTGTGGTACTTAAGTATCAGGAGACCGAATCAGCGGCACAAGACTGATCTGACACATCACAGAAATCCTTGATCGAATCCACCACAGGAATTGTGCAGCGGAGTAGGGCTTCAACCTGAGCTTTTGCAGTTTTGACAATCGAGGTGTTGCCCTTGCCATGCGCATCATCTGGTAGGGTTTTGATGTACTGAAGGAGGACGCCCTCTGTGAAAGTGCAGGGTTCTTGGATTAATGCCAGCATCTCATCCTTGATGCTTTTGAGAGCGAGCAGGCACCCCGGGAGATCCGATCTGTAGGTTATTAATTATGTTTCATTTCATCTATTTATAAAACAAAATGTTGACATACAAGTTGACGTTCTTGTCATCGTCTGTCACCATGATCTCAGTATCCTCTTCATCTGAATAACCCAAGGCTTCGGCAAGGGCTTTTTGGATCTCCTGAATCTCTTGCGATGGCTTGGTGATGCGAAGTTCTCACCGCCTTTTCAGTATATTATCTTTGTTTCTTTACATTGTCAGGAACTACGGCCAGAGAGTTTATGGTGAGAAAACCTTACTTGGCATAATGCTGTCGGCGCCTTTCACGACCCGCTGCTTGTTTGGCCTCCTCTGTCTTGTAAATGGAAGGATGTGCCATGATGATGATGTTGGTTAAGAGGCTGGGGAGATTTGGTTGAAAAGAAGCACAAATAGTGTTTGAGTGTTTGAGTGTGGTCGGACAATAACTCGTACATTCATTGTAGGCTATTAACTTGAAGTTGCAATCAATTCCTTCATGGAAGGGTCTTAATCAGTGCTTGTATTGAGAATGTATCTACATCGCAAAACAGACTCAATATTTGTTTTATGGCTGAATGATTCAATGTGCTACTAGAGCACTGCTAAATCGAACAATAATCTTGCAATTGATCAGACGAAAACCTACTTACAGTCGGATGCTGACCTGCACCAAACCGGTTTGGTGCATGGACGACCAATACTCTCTCATGAGTCATATACCCTGAAATACCACTATGAAACCCTTTTCCCTTTTATCTGAAGTTGGACTGAGGCTAAGGGAATATTTTTTGCTTTTCTTTTTATTTTTCAAATCTGTATACCAGCAGCCTGAATATTTTAGTACATTTAATTCTGCGATGAGTTTTGCTTAGTCAGCCATGGTGATGACTCAGACAAAATCCCACATATGTCAGGTGACTGTGAAAAATATTTCCCACATATGTTGTCCTGGAAAAACATTAGTAAACCCCTAAATACTAGGCTCACATCATTCTCACCCTTCAAACAAAGCAAAGCAAAGACAGCCACACACAGGATTCATATCATGTGACACTTCTTACACTCCTTCTGGATTTGTCATCAGGGGTTGGACAGGTCACATGACTTAGCAAAATACCCAATGACTCACTATGACTCACCTTGCACATATGACTCATTATGACTCTTGATGACTCTTGAATACACTAGTAGCACAGCCACATTTATTGTGTATATAATGACTCCAGTTTTTGAAATAATAACAAGCGAACAGCAGCAGATAGTAGGGTGTTTTTCAGCCCATCCAACACTAAGTTGTGAGTAAGGTGTGATAAGTGTCAGTACCAGTGTCAAGAACTGTCTTAAGACTAAGAGGAACATTCTCAAGAGACAGTAATACTGCAAGCTCATCATACTGAACGACCAGCTGTGAGCTCACTGTGTGCAACAACCAGCAAGCAAGGTACAGCCACAGTTATATTCTGATTTCTATTATTCTTTTTCTTTTCTTTTACTTTCACCAACCTTTGGTGGTCTTTGTCCAGAAATATATTTCCAAAATATTTGTGTTGTCTCTACGTGCAGATGCACGCTTGGCTGCGGAAACAGGTGATAATCGATTTCTTCAACACAAACATCAATCACACACCATCAGAGGACCTAGTCGTCTGTCCACCTCAACAGACTATATCACCAGCATATCTGTACCTTCACAAGTGACTCCAAATGTGACGGATACTGGTTCAAACGATTTTCTTTCTTATTTTAACAACAACAAGGACGCAGCATACACCATCTATGATGAGCACATGGCCGAAACAATGACAGAGCCCAAAAAGCGCAAACAGACTGCCGCAGTATGTATTTACCTTGATTAAATCCCACTCACTTACTGGTGACACTCATTCAGGATAATCCTATTGGACTTTGGACCAAGGAATGCGAAACTTACCTCCTAGAACTTCTTCGGTTGGAAGGCCATGGTGACTATATGTTTGCTGAAGCCTGTCCTAGCACCAGTGAATGTGAGGGTTTCCCCGAGTATCGGTGTCAGGATTGTTTTGGTGTCACTCTCTACTGCAAGGCCTGCACAGTCACAAGGCACAAGGAAAATCCATTACACAGAATCCAGGTTCGTCATTCCTTTGAATCATCATGTATTATACACTCATTTAGCAATTATAAAGCACTGGGTCGATGGGCATTTTAAATGTACTAGCTTGAAAGACCTTGGTCTCCGAATACAACTTGGCCATCCAGTTTGGGGACAATGTTGCAACCCATCACCAGCGTTTCACGACGATTTCATTGTTCTGGATGTGAACAGCATTCACCAGGTTGCTGTTGACTTTTGCGCCTGTGAAATTGCTCAGTCTCCTACCACTCAGCTCCTTTGTGCCCGCTGGTTCCCCGCAACGACTATGGATCCCAAAACTGCCGCAACATTCCACCTACTTCACCATTTTCACATTCTCACGTTTGAATCAAAGGCATCTGCCTTCGAGGTCTGGCAAACACTTTCCAGGCTCACGGATAACACAGGTATTAGGACTCCAAAGGTAAGCAAATAATTCCCTCAGTATAATCTACTTTCCTTATCACAGATACAGTCAGGATCGCTACGAGGCACTCCTGCGAATGGTCAGGGAGTGGAGAAACATCAAACTTCTCAAGCGGTTTGGGCGAGGACATGATCCTGCAGGTATTGATGCTACTCTGCAAGGATCTTGCGCAGTTCTTTGTCCAGCATGTCCTCAACCTGGCAAAAACTTACCACAGGGTTGGGAAGATGCCCCTCAAGAAGTTCGGTGAGTGAAGTATCTTGTGATATGTATCCTAGTTACCAAGATTTGTACAGATGGCTCTATGGACTTTTTCTCGTGATTGATGCAAACTTTCAACTGGCGCGGAAGAACGTGTCATCAGACATGGCCGACCCTGGCCTTAGCAAGGGGTGGGCGTACTTTGTTGAGGAACACAAATACAAAATGTTCCTCCAGGGTGTTAGCAAGCAGCCGCAAGAGGTGCGCACTCTCAGCTCACAGACTTGCTATTCTCTAACGTCTTTTCAATTAGAAAAGCACCTGTGTAAGCCACAATGCCGTCAATCTAGCAGAGACCAAGAATTCCCGTGGCCTCGCAGCAACAGGAGCTGGGACTGTTGACTGCACACGTCATAATTTTAAACAACCATGTGCTGTTGGCGACCTTCAGAAAGGGGAAAAGTGCGTATTTTATTTTATTGTCGCTTCTCATCTTATAAGACCATCAGATATATCAATATGGACTATCTATTCTTCTCGACTATACAACACACCAAGAATCTTGTCACCTTAAACATATCATACAATATAGCCTGTCAATGGAACAAACACCTGTGGGACCACATGTCCCGGTATCCCACCCAGATGCACATTGAACATAGCAGCAAATTTGTGACATTTCTAGTTCCAAAATTTCACTTGCCTGCTCACATTTTTGCATGTCAAATCGCCTACTCGCACAATCTCGTGAAGGGCATGGGTCATACAGATGGCGAGGCTCCAGAGCGCGGATGGGCCAATATAAACCCTGTGGCTACCAGTACACGTGAAATGGGCCTGGGTTCCTGACGCGACACACTCGATGACCACTTTGGCGACTTCAACTGGAAAAAAGTGACTAATATTGGTAAGTGTGCAATTGTAATAGGTCAAATGTTGTTGTTCAATTGTGTGATCGACTAGGTATCAGTCTGCTGCGGAAGCTCAAGGCCGCTATACCAGAATGCAACCAACACCAGCGTGACTTCAATGAATTCAATGAGACACTCGTTACTAAGCGTACAGAGGAAGTAGCAATGTGGAAACAAGGAGTCAAAAAGTGGGAAGCGGACATGTCAGCAACAAATCCTTTCAGCCCGACGACAGCAAGTAGGTCATAAATATTCGTTTTAAAGCTCTACTAATGCTGTTTATTAGCTATAATGCAGGCATCTGTTAGGTTGACCCTCTCTCAGGAAGAAGCTCAAGAGCTCGAGCATGGCATCAACAACTCCCTCCACCATGAAATCTCGCCGGTGTCCTGCATGATATGGGAATCATGCAGAACACATACATGACACATGATCCCACATATCTATAGTCTGTTAGCTTTGTCCTCAGACTACACAAAAAATGTACTTTGAGTATAGACTCAAGTGCAACAGATAGCTTTGTGTGCTCCAATCACACAAAAAGTATAGTGTTTTGAAGAAAAGTCAAATATGATGGAGAAATCATATATTGACATAGTCCAAGTAATGGGTGTATAAAAGCTTAGGTTATTACCTAACATTTGGCTTATTCACTTTGACTACAAATAACCAAGGAGAAAAGTTAAAAGCTTACAAAAACCCTATCAAAAAAGGCCCGCATTTTGCTTTGTTTTCTTTTATGATTATTCCTACCTTATTTTCTCTATGTTTTTCTTTCATCTCTTTACCTATATGATTCACTGACATCTCAGATGCATCATAAAACGTACCTGCAAGGTATGATGTCATGATGATGTCATATGGCTCCACAGATAGTTCTGGCCTATTCTGTTGGTTTCTCTGATGTCATAGTGATGTCATTGGATGCTAGAATGTTCTGCTCCACCTAGCTCCACAAATGCTCCACAAATGCTCCACAATGAGGTCATTTATGATGTGATTCTGATGTCATTCCTCTTTTCAATCTTATTTCTTGGTACTATACAGTTTCTCCCATCTCATGTATAAAGGAGAGCCAATCTCCACCCAAAAATATAAGAATCTATTTTTCTTTCAAATATCAGAAGGAAATCCCCCTCACATTCTCTGACATTGACACTCTTTGTGTTAGCCAGAAAGTGCAGACCAAGTAATTAGACTTGCTCTGAGATCATTTTATCCTTTTCTTGACTGTACCTGTACTGCTTAGTGTGCATCTGACATACATTTCAGAGGACTAGGAGTATTAAGTCAAGCCATTTTATCTGTGCCTGCAGATTCCTTTGTTGGACTATCTGCATACATATTTTCAAGTCGTATAACTTGTAGTTGTACACATCCATTGTATTATTGTAGTTGTATAACACACGGTTGGTTATACACTATCATCCTATTATTTTGGATACATCCTTTGTGCCTTACTTCAAAGGAGTCCACACCAGCATCTTTGATTTGTATCATACATTCATACAAATCTCTCCATTTCCCATCAACAAGTCCTTACATATTTAGGTGGGGGAAATTCTAGCAATATCTGCTGCATCCAGTTGCAACCAGTTGCACAACACATTTTTCCATCTAGTCATAGGAAAGGCTAGATATTTCTCTGCAAGGTCTATATTATCTGTCTTGTCAGATAAAGTTAGATTTCTCTTGTAGAACATCTACTGTTCTAGATAGAATCACACCACCGGGCTGTATAGCAGGTAACCTCCCACAAACGACGCGTTATCTACCATGAAAGAAGAAAAGTCATAGACCGCGAACTTGAGGTTGTTTGGTAGCATCTAGTCTTATCAAAAGTGTAATTGTGGTGTCATTGCCTTTTGACCACTTTTATATAAGACACCTCAAGTAAGAAGACACCGGCTGTCCTTATCTCATCAGGCATTGGGATTGAAGAGGAACAGTAAGTTTTGTATTTGCCATCCTTGGTTGATTGCTAACAGATAACTCCCCAGACATCGACTTCTATGAGATCTCTCAGTGCTTGGTGACCATGCGACTGATCTTCAGCGTTCAAAGTTGCAAGATCGCATGAATGTGCTGCAGCGCAAGATTGAGCAGTGGTGTCAAGTACAAGTCTTGTACATGCCCTCCGTGGCCCCCATCAGAACTTCCCGAAGCTCCAGCAGCAACACATTGAAAGAGGAGAAGGCATACGAAATCTGTCTATGGCTCCCTTCGCAGCTCAAGGATCATGCACCATACGCTATCTGTGATGAACAACTTTGCCGATTTGAATGGGATCGGCGCCATGCATAGGCATCTGACTCACTGAATGGCCTCCGCCGGCATCTCCTTCTTCGTACTCACCTATATAAATTCAAGGATATTAACATTCAGGGTCAGCGAGCCAACACATGCGCTGCTGCTGTCATCAGGAAGGTCGAGTATAATGTTATGGAGGCTGGCAAAAGCTACCGCCACACATGGACCGCGCTTAGGAGGCTATGCGGAACACTTGGAGAGGATGACTGGCAGAGTATCTTTCCTGTGCTCGAGCCAGCTAATGTGCGTGGAATGTCAGAGGGTGAGGCAGGTCAATCTGAAGGCAACCGGACACTCTCTTGGATCTGGAAGATGCAGGGTGTCTCAGCAGCTGGGGAGGTTCTTGCAGACAGTTAGCAGCTCCAATTTTCTTACCGATATGGTTTTTTCAATCCTGTCATCAGCACTGCGCATTGAGTGGTGCAAAGCCAGAGCACGCGCGAACCGCTGGACGGAGGAAGTCCAGCTTTTACTGGAGGAGATGTGGCGTGTCAGAGCATTCCTTTCATGACATGCTGCATGGTGGGATGAGCAGGCAGGGCGACGAACGGGTCTACCTGATGCTGAGACTGAGGGCATCAAAGGCTATGCCAAATGCCAGGCGTCTCTTCGGAGAAACTTACAGATAGCCTTCGATGACATGTGGGTCATGATAGAGTCCTCGGCAACTGCAGAGGCACAAATGTAGGTTCATGTAGGTTCGGCATCCCCTGCTGTTAGCACGCCAGTACTGTAGTTCCATGTATGGATATGTCAGTTTGAATTCGGTGTTTCTCCTAGATTCAGAAATCACATCAGAAGATTCAGATATTGAGATCAGATCTAACTCAGATTCAGAAACATCAGAAGACTTAGATAATCCTTGAAGACATGATGCATACTGGCGGCCTGGAGGGCATTATGCATCATGACGAGGGACGAGCATCAACCATACATAACAGCTTGTGTCTAATCAGCCATTATTATGCATAACCCTGCCACGAACAGGTGTATATTTCTATTTCTCTCATTTGCATATTGTTCCGTCTTTATTTTTATCATGGACTCTCACTCATATATATCTTTACATACCTACTCAGTAGTGCTTTGGCTCCGCATGACCGCGCTTAGGCGCACTATATAAGCACCAGCAGTACATACTACTACTCACTTACCTTTTTTACCTTACCTCACTTTACTTTACTTTCCACCCACTACTATCTATCTAGAAGAACATAGTAGAAATCTATTCCTCTACACTTTGCATCTCTCTTCACTTATCTTGCATTATATTACCACTTAAGCTTAGTCTCTCTATTGTTTCTGCATGCGCACGCACTTTCCCGCGCTTCGCGCCAATATGCGCGTGTGTTCCCACGCCTCGCGCACACCTGTGCTTTCTCACACCTCACTTCAGCGCGTACCTCTAGATCTTCGCTGCACTCACTTCCCCTTTAGGGTCAAACACACTTGTCTCCTCAAGTAACACAGACCAGGCAATGCGCAACCTTACAAACATTTTTTAGATACAGTCAGGAGCATCATTTGTTCCTCTCAGTATTGTTGTTTCTACACCGCATGAGTCGTGGAACACGAATCCCAGGTTGCTTTGAAAAACCATTTCATTCTCGATGTTGTGCTCTCCACGCTGAGAGTACATATGTCAGTTCATGTCCCGAAGTAAGACCACACATTGATACCTCTTTAGATGCCTTTAAAACTGCAGCATCGATCTGATGTCGATGAATCAGTACCATCCTCCTACTAGCAATGTGATGCCCACCTTTTCCCTGGCACTATTGTATATTTCAGAGTTGTCCCACATGTTGCAAACTCTCTCGAGGATGGTAGTTTTCCCTGTGTTCACTCTTCCTATAACAAGGATTTGAAAGCGACCGATTTTCTCTCTTATCCTTGAGGGATCCATGGGGGAAGTGGTAGTAAATGTGAGTCACAGAGAAGTGTTGGTGTTGCCTTATAATCATTGCAGGGTGTGAACCCGGCAAATACCAACTTCGGCAGTTGGGCAATGGGCAATATTGTCAATGATAGGAGAGCTGTGTACCATGAGGCATACACTTCGTGTCCGAGTCACAGTTGGAATTTTGAAATTACGAAGTCACGGTTGACTGTCGCAAGTGTGCCATCAAGTCTCCCACAGTCAGGCCTTGCAACTAGAAGACAGTCAGTTCCTTCATTTATGGCATGTCAGTCCATGTCGATCTCAGTGGTTCTCCACTCAAGAGCTATATCACATACCATTCTTGTGACACCCATGTTTTCTATTTGATAATTACTTAACGACTGCAAGGTGTTAGCCAGGAGCTCAATGGGCGATATTTATCTTGATATGGGTGTGTACCATGAAGCCTAGGCGACCTTGAGGCAACCATGTTCGATAGTAGGCTGAGGCGTACACGACAAGTCCTTGCACATCATATTCATATTTGAAATTAGCCGAGGGATGTAGTGTTCAACTTACTTCGTGCAGCGGCTGTGCAGCACGTGAAGTCTGCCGCCTTTCGGATTTTCTTTTGTTCCACAAACTCCAGTGAGCTCCAATGGCCCAGATCCTTGTGTGTATCCACACGCAAATGAAAGCAAGTCCGGCGGGGAAGCCGGCCACGCGTAGAGAGCACTTGAACTTGAAGGTGCTATGGCACATTGAATTTCCAAGCTTGCTCGCGTGAGTACTACCGTCCTTACCAACACCTTCTCCCGTGCGCATGTGGATTCTCGCACTCTCGTGGACGCGGATGCCTGTATTGACGCAGACACTTACACCGACGCGAACTTCTGCATTGAGGCAGATGCCCGTACCGACATGGATCTCCACATTAACGCAGATGTCTGCACTGACGGGGATGCCCGTATTGACGCAGATGGGCCTGTATTGACACAGATACCAGCACTCATGCTGGCGCGGATGCCTTTTCACTACTTTTTCTACTAACCGTCTTCTCATGTAGCCTCCCCTCGATGGATCCCCTTGCGGCTCCTACAATTTAGGGATTCGAGATTCAAGGTTCACTTCTGTGCGTCGCATTCACTCCTGCTAATGTGGGAATGTCAGCTCACCTTGGCTCACTCTTGCACAGGTCGGGGTCACTATGGTGGCCCTACTTGGAATAAAGCAGACATTTTTCTCGTTCGCACTACTTGCACAACTGCTTTAGAGCAGCCACAAAGTCTGTATCTAAGTACTCCATTCATACATCACGCGCACGGCTCGATGAATGCTAGCAAGTCAGCATGTCCGAAGAAGATGAAGCAGAAAATTTGAGGCGAATTTCTCCTTCCATCCTTCAATCTCACCGCCAACACCTGTGAAGACATAGGTAAAGCAGAAGTACGAGGTTTTTGCTCTCGGTTTCGAACGCAAGTGACGACCTGGAACAGGATAGCGATATTGGCGCTATAAAGTTTGAACAGGGTGTCATCGATGTCAGTGATGAAGACGATTTTCCACGCCGACCCAGAACTGGATGACTCCAGTGGCACGCATTATTTTGTCTTTGCATATTTTCACGATCACGGCTACAAATATTGACCAGGCACAACGATATGTAGCGGTTTGTGTGTTAATATCTTTTCTAGACTGAACATCGAGAAGAGATGGAAGACGTGGAGCTCGGATTCGAGGAAAAATTTTCATGCTGCAGTTCATTATAGGCGTGAGCAACGGATGTTTTCGGCTGACAATTCTTCTATCGCGACCAACAGCAGTCTTACCTCTCCATTTTCCTCCTGCATTCACCATCAAGTTACCTTTCGTTCTGTCGTGGAAAGATGATGACCCCGATGCATTACATCTTGCCTATCTTGGGCGTTATGGTATGCGTTCATGTCAACTTGACAATTTACCTAGCTTGACACTAGAACAAATCTCAATTCACTACATTATGAGCTTTCAGTATGAGGAATACGGAAAGGCGACATCCATCTCAAATATCGCAGACCAATGGACTGGTCCGAAGTCAAACCCTCTCTACAAAACACCCGTGCCCGACGAGTACTGCAAGCCCGATTCGTCAATGCACTCACAAGATCGCAGAGCGAATGCCTCGATCGTCGTACTTGTACGAAACTCTGAGCTTTGGGAGATCATGAGCAGTATGAAGCAACTCGAGGATAGGTTCAACAGGAAGTTCCGGTATCCTTATGTCTTCCTCAACGACGAGCCCTTTACGCAGAGCCTCAAGCAGTGCGCCCTTTTACGCTCGAATTCCTGAAACTGCTGACAGGCTATAAAGTCACATACGGGCCTTAACCAGTGCCACGGTCGAATTCGGTCTCATCCCATCCGACCATTGGCGTCAAGCATCGTGGATCGATGAAGAACGAGCAAGCAAGTCTCGCGATGACATGGTTAGGAACGATGTGATTTACGGAGGTAGGTTATCTTACAGTTCTAAGCGTACGTGTAGCGTGACAATTTTCCAGGTAGCGTTTCGTGCGTGCGCTAAGTCACCATCGCTGCTTCTAGATACCGGAATATGTGTCGCTTCAATTCTGGCGTACGGGATCGTAATGCGTCTTGGCGAAGTTGTCTCACTAGTCCCTAGTTCTTCTATCAACACGAGCTCTTGCAGAAGTACCGGTACTATTGGAGAGTCGAGTGAGTGGACGCAGCCGAAGGAGATGCGATGTAGCTTATGTTCCCCAATCAGGCCAGACATCCAGCTTTTCTGCGACGTGGACTGTGATCCCTTTCTCATGATGCAAGACCAAAAGGTGTATGGTAAATCAAATGATGCTTTCAATTATATACTAGTCTCAAACGTCGACAGGCTTTACCATAGCAATATCAGAAATCCCAGCTACCATCCCAACGCTATGGAACGTTGTGAAGTGTAAGCATATTCGGCATTTACTATGATTTCAATCTCACCTTCCTGTAGCTTTCATTGGTGCTAATCCCGACTTGGTAACTCCTGGAAATGCGATGGAATTTCTCTCTGATGATGGCGGAGAGTCCTACAGTCTGTGTCACTGTAGGTTATTGCACATCGCGACGTTTTACCGTGCTAATGAAAACACGTGGCAGTCTGGAGCAACTTTGAAATCGCAGATCTTGACTTCTGGCGAAGCGAGGCATATTCGAAATCTCTTGATGAGAAGGGTGGATTTTATTATGAGGTGAGTCTTGTGTTTGCACGCTTTGCGACATGGTTTCATTTGGGATAGCGCTGGGGAGATGCACCAGTTCATAGCATCGGAGCTGCACTGTTCGCAAAGAAGGAACGAATTCACTTCTTCAATGACATCGGGTATCAACATGACTACTTCGAGCACTGTCCACAGGGAGATGTGCACACGAAAGGAAAATGTTGGTGCAACCCTGATAAGAGTGTCGGCAACTATCTCTCTATACAAATGTTGAACGACCACTGAAACTGTGTTCAGGTATATTCATGCCTTTACCAATATGATAAGCTATTATTGTAGACCGAAACATCAGCGCTGTCACGATGTTCTTAGCAGTGAGAAATGTGTCCCTATATGACATTAGATGCCGCACTCCACGATCTGGAGTGTCTACCTCTGAGAGGCGTATTCACGATGGACTGTACTATACCTAGTCAATGATGTGGTTGACTTATAGAATTGATTGCGATGCCATGATTGCTCTGCTTTTTACTCACGGAAACTTCTAGTTGTATGACGTGCACGCTCATTAGCATGGTCAGTGACATCCAGTAGGACTTCCGTACATCGCCAGCTGTCTAATTCGTCCAACTTGAAGACAATTTGGCTTCCTGTTTCTGAACTCTGAACGCGTTACTAGCTTCGCCCAGGTGCCGCCATATAATCAAGAAACACATCTCTCAGCTGTTCATCCTCATCGCGTTTGACTTGTCATGACTGCAACTTCGTCGTCTTCTGCTTCGTTATCGTTGTTCGCTTCCTCTTGTTTCGCCGGTCAGGAGCTTCCTAAATATGGCGTACCGCACAGTGGCTGTGCAGCATGTGGGTTCTCTTCTCCGCCAACCCCACTGCGCCCATTGGCAGGCTACACTCTAGCAAGCTCCGGTGCCCTAGGTCTGCACCCTGCCTTCTTTCGGATTTTCTTTTCCGCTACAAACTCCGGTAAGCTACAACGGCCTGGGTCGTTGTGTGCAACGAAGGCAAGTCTGATGTGGAAGCCGGCCACGAGTAGAGAGCAAATACTTTTCCAGGCTCGTCCCAGAACAGGCCGAAGGGCCAGGAACTCATCAAGAGCAAAGCAGATGACGAGTTAACGGAAATTTGCAGAGCCGGACGTCCCACATGTCACAGTCTCCAGTGTGTATCACTACAGCAATAAGCCTTGCTTTTTTTTTATCTGAAAATTCAGGCAGTGTTGGCGTTGGAAAGAGAAGTCTGTTCTGATCGTATCGTGACTGATTTAACTTGAAATTGAATAATGAGAGAAGGGATCAGGATGCACGGTTAGCTAGCGCTCGTACAAAGCCACTATGCTTTAGAGACCAGCTATTAGTAGGTACTGCTACCCTTTTATGTATGGACCCTGTGATTTGATCGAACTTGAAGCCACATGTAATGTCATCGAAGTGGACGACAACACTGACAGTCAATCGGACAGCAGTAACGTGGATGAACGTATGAGATTAAGGGGGGGTATCGTACGATAAGCACTTTAGTACGTATAGTAGGCTGTATATATAGGGATATATGTTCCAGGAGGTGTCCAATCAGATAGAAGTGCACAGGACGGACATCTGACGTCATAGATAAGTTGCGTCATGTAAGCGTCATGCTTACACCCTTTCCCTCCATCATTCAGACCTCTCCTTCTCCCAAGTGTCGAGTGCTTCGCAGTCCTCCAAGTCGCGTCGCGGCAACCATTCATCGTCCTCTTCGCCGAAACCAACCCACCGCACGAGATACTTCTTCCCTCTTCCGACCTTTCTCTCGTCCAAGATTTTGTCGATGAAATTTTCAAGCTGGCCGTCCTCAGTCACCACTGGTCCAGGCTTAGGATGTTCTCACGAGGGGAAGAGAGCTGGATCGTTCGGTGTGAATGCTCGCAGCTGACTAACATGGAATGTCGGGAAGATGTTGGGAGAATTTGGCAGATCGAGGGTATATGTAGAGGTTTCTGGATGAGCTTCGACGATTGTGTAAGGTCCGTCATATCTAGGCATGAATTTTGCTACGTGTTTGTCGCCCTTTTGGATGTAGTCTCGACGACGATGTTTCGTGGCTAACATGACGCGATCTCCTTGTTGCAGGATAAGGTGTGCGGCACATTTCTTGTTCACGGCGTTTGCTTGAGCAGCTTTGCTAGCTATCAAGGTGTCTTGAGCCTCCATCAGGTCGAAGTTGAGCTTCGACAGTAGCGACTGCGCGCATTTCTCTTCTGGTTCTTCCGACCTCGACGTTTGTTCCACGAGAGGAGGTAGCATTCTTGGTAGGCGCCCCAGATGCAATTGGAAGGGGGCGACACCAGTACTTGCATTGACCGTGCTCATGATTTGAAAATGTACCTGAGGAAGCACCTGTACCCAGTTCTTCTGGTTTCGATCTACATAATATCGCAAGCATTGTGTGACTGTTTTATTCGAGCGTTCGCTCGAGCCATCTGTTTCCGGATGATACGCTGATGACATTTTGACCTTAACGCCCGTCAGTTTATGCAATGTTCGCCAGAATTTCGACATGAAAAGCTTATCGCGATCTGAAATTATCTCCCTGGGCAGTCCATTTTCACAGAACCAGTGGTCGAAAAAGAGCGTCGCGAAGCTTTTGGCCGAGATGTTGTCTCTGCATGGTACCAGCCGGATGTCTGAATTCAACCTGTCTGTCATAGTAATCAGCATGTTAAACCCACGATCTTCGGGCCTCTGCCCAATGAAATAAATCGCCACAGAGTCACCACGCTCCTCAGGAACTGGTAGAGGGTGCAATGGACCCGTGGTTGCGGTTGTTTTCGATTTGTTACGCATGCACGATGCGCAGGAAGGTATGTACGATTCGGTCAAGTCCTGCCTCATGTTTGGCCAATAATAAGAGCCTCACAGTAAGCCATAGCTCTTGTCAGCGCCAAAGTGTCCACTTGCATCATGCGCCGTGTGAAACAGGTGTTCCTGAAGGTTGTCAACTCGAGGGATGATAAGCCGACCTGCAATGTAAAAGAAGCCATGCTCGTCCCGTGTAAGTCCTGGCAATGATCCCAGAAGGCTGTCGAGCTTTTTGCACCAGTCATCCTCTCCGTATCCTTTCAGAATGCGGTCCCGAAGTTTGGAATCGCTATGTATTGTCAGTACAGCCGCACTGATATCCTCACTTGTAGTATCCGTCCGCCTCGATAATGCATCCGCTGCGCAGTTTTCGTCGCCTCGTATGTAGTTGATAGTGATGTCGTATTGCGACATATACTCGGCCCAACGAGCTTGTCGTCTCGATAGGTCCCGTTGCCGCTCGAAGTTCTGTAGTGTGCAATGATCAGTGTAAACATTTATATGCATACCTAACAGATCCAGTCGCCACTTCTTCAGCACGCGAATGATTGCGAGGAGTTCTTTTTCGTGCACTGGGTAGTTACGTTGTGCAGAGTTTAGTTGCGTCGAGTCGAAGGCGACAGGTCGCGAAGACTCTCGTGTCATTCCCCATGAAAGCACTGCCCCGGTTGCATAGTCTGACGCATCGCAAACCAGAAACACTTTGTTTTCACCTGGCATATCATGGTCAATAGTCGTCAGACAATGCGGGCTTACCACGAGCTCTTTGATTCCTTTGAAGGCCCTTTCATGTTCACTCATCCATTTAGGGAAAGCTTTGTCTGCGGCCTTGGTGGTTAAGGGCGTAAGCGCAAGCATGTGTTTAGCCACTGATGGTAGGTGGTCCGCGAGGTACCTGACGATTCCGAGGAATCCTCGAACGTCGGTGGCCCGACGTGGCTGTGGCCAATCCAAGATCCGTGCGATCTTGGATTTGTCCGCCTCGATGCCTCGTTCCGAGACATGGTGCCCTAAGAAGTCAATTTCAGTGTTAAACAATGACGTCTTCTTTGTCGAGCAATACAGATGCGCTGCACGAAGAGCCTCAAGGACCAGTCGAACATTAGCTTCATGTTCCTCAAGGGTTTGCGACCAGATGATAATGTCATCTAAATAGACATGGCAGACACGACCGATGAGGTGTCGAAGAGCGGCCATCATCCGCCGTTGGTGTACTGCAGGTGCGTTATGTACGCCCATTGGCATCACGGTCCACTCATACTTACCCCAAGGCGTGTGCACAGCTAAGTACTTCATGTCGTCAGGATGAACCTTTGTTTGAAAGAAAGCATTAGTCATGTCAATCTTTCCAAAAAACTTCCCTTTGGCACAATCTTTGAGTATCTCGTCGATATGCGGCAAGGGGTGGTTGTCCGGCACGGTGTTCAAGTTCAGAAGCCGGAAGTCGTTCACCCATCTCGGCAAGACCGTTGGGTCTGCCTTCGGGATGATGAAAGCCGGCGATGAAAACTCACTTTCCGAGTGCCTCAATTGGCCGCTCTCAACATGGGAGTCGAGCAGAACCTTCCAGGCCGCCCTATATTTCTTTGGGCAATCGTAAGAGCGTTTCTGCACAATTTCATTAGCGTCCTTAAGTTGTACGCGGAAGAGAACGTCGTCAGGAAGTAAGTCGTTGTGTGGGATGTCCATTGGAAAACGATCGCGGTACTCCTCTTTGACAGCTGCGTCTCTAGCTGCCAGTGCTCCTTGTTGCTGGAGGATGTCAATTCGCGCTTGTATTGCTCCAACGACATCCACACCATGAACCTCTTCACATTCATTGTCAACGATCGTCTTCAGTTCCGGAAGAACATCTTTCAGTTCATTTACCACACTTCATTTTGTCCAAAACAAGTCTGGTCCCCATGACAACACCGCTCTTTTCATCTGAGACACATCCTGTGGGTTAAGTAAGTCGTAGTCAGCATCCTTTGCGACACAAGTCCGAAGCTCATGATCTATAACAATTTGATTATGTTGCAAAAATGGTCCTCCCAGTAACAGAGGAGTACAGAGGTTCGGAGCCAAAATTGCACGAACGGAGCGCGAAATATAAGCCTGATCAGGCGAACAACAAGAAAGTTTGACATATTGTGACAGAACGAAGGTTTGTTTTTGCTTTTGTGAAAGTGCGAGTGTTATCGGGAGCGGTTTGGGCAGCTGTCGCACGCGTAACCCAAGTTTATGCACGAGGGTGTCATCAATCAGAACTAAAGAGGAACCATGGTCAATAAGCGCAGAAATACGGATAGGAGAAGAAACGGCAGGCCCAGTCACAAGACAATCCCAACGAAAGTGAGGAGTCTGCAAAGGAGCCACGCACTCCTCAGAGTCTGTTCCGTCGCCCAATACCGCGGAGGGCATCACGACCGCGGCAGTATTCTCATCCTCGACGTTTACAGACGCGACGACACCATTGTTCTTCTTTGGCTTTCACGAGGTGAT